AAAACTTACGGAATTATGCTCTCGCAAAGTTAGCGGTCTCGGCGATGTTTACGCATCGGCGATTTTGCCCACTTTGAGCCCCATTTTCGGCCAATTTCACTGTACTAGTCGACAAAAAACATGAATATTTCGCTAGAAATCCATTTTTTCTACCGAATGGGTGCAAGAAACCACCCATTTATGAAACTCAACTATCCAGTACAGTGGTCAGAATTTAGCAATTTTGCCAATTTCACACAAATTTCAAAAGATGCCAATTTCCGAATAGGGTCCAGAATAAACAAGAAAGACATTCCTGGCACTAAAATGACATTTCCTCTAGTCATTAGTCACGTCTCAAGGCCCATCTTATATTCTTTTGCTTTCCACTTTGAATTTTTATTCTCACAAAAAATATAAGATTTACTGTTATGCAGACTACTGCATTAGTGTAAAAAATGGTATAAATATTATTGGTGCACTTGTGAAAGAATATTAGACTCACCAGTTGACGTGTATTGCACGCTTGGCACGATTTGTTTACTTTTGAAGTTTGGTAAAAATCGAACATTTCTGCTACTTTGAGCTCAATTTCAAGGCACCTTTCATTGTAAAACCAGTCAAAATCATCTCAATTTCTGTAATATGTCTTCCATTCTATGAAATGAGACCAAGAAAACTAGAATACAACAATAAATACCATACGAAAATACACTGCAAAGTCGCTGATTTATTCCAAAAAAATGGTCAAAGTTTTTTTTTTCTCATTATGCACTGTGTGCTGCAGGATTTTTTTTAGACTGTGCACACTGACCACATAGACCCATTCTTTCATATGAAGGCCTACCAGCTTTCTCCCACTAGATTTGAGGCCGCTAGAATTTATGCGCACTAGTACGTCAAAAACCCCTACGCGTAAGACGTACTAGTACGACCAAAACCCTCAAAGGGCTAAAGGCCTTATGGAAGGGGATTCCCCTTCCAAAAAATAATAAACCTCCATCTCCCCTCTTCCCATCCCATCACTCATCACTACATCTTCAATAAAGGTAAGTGTCATTTATGCTTCATTTAGTACAGTACGTATATTGTGCATGTATCCTTCTTTTTGTGTGTAGGAAAATGTATATTTCATGTGGTAAAAAAAAATTTTTTTCATACTTTTGGGTGTCTGGAACAGATTAACTGGATTTCCATTATTTCTTATGGGGAAAATTAATTCAACTTACATATTTTCGTCTAACGAGGAGCTCTCTGGAACGGATTAATATCGTAAGTCGAGGGTCCAGTGTAATTTAATCCCACCCCTCTCCCCAATACCCTAGCATTTACTTCTTTGACAACCCCATCTGTAAATATGTTAAATAACCATGGTTATTTTGGTTACTTTTTGCTGATGATACTGTGCTTATGGGAGATTCTAAAGAAAAATTGCAAAGGTTAGTGGATGAGTTTGGGAGTGTGTGTAAAGGTAGAAAGCTGAAAGTGAACATAGAAAAGAGTAAGGTGATGAGGGTATCAAATGATTTAGATAAAGAAAAATTGGATATCAAATTGGGAAGGTGGAGTATTGAAGAAGTGAATGTTTTCAGATACTTGGGAGTTGATGTGTCGGCGGATGGATTTATGAAGGATGAGGTTAATCATAGAATTGATGAGGGAAAAAATGTGAGTGGTGTGTTGAGGTATATGTGGAGTCAAAAAACGTTATCTATGGAGGCAAAGAAGGGAATGTATGAAAGTATAGTAGTACCAACACTCTTATATGGGTGTGAAGCTTGGGTTGTGAATGCAGCAGCGAGTAGACGGTTGGAAGCAGTGGAGATGTCCTGTCTAAGGGCAATGTGTGGTGTAAATATTATGCAGAAAATTCGGAGTGTGGAAATTAGGAGAAGGTGTGGAGTTAATAAAAGTATTAGTGAGAGGGCTGAAGAGGGGTTGTTGAGGTGGTTTGGTCATTTAGAGAGAATGGATCAAAGTAGAATGACATGGAGAGCATTTAAATCGGTAGGAGAAGGAAGATGGGGTAGGGGTCGCCCTTGAAAAGGTTGGAAGTAAGGGGTAAGGGAGATTTTATGGGCGAGGGGCTTGGACTTCCAGCAGGCGTGCATGAGCGTGTTCGATAGGAGTGAATGGAGACGAATGGTATTTGGGGACCTGACGATCTGTTGGAGTGTGAGCAGGGTAATATTTAGTGAAGGGATTCAGGAAAACCGGTTATTTTTATATAGCCGGACTTGAGTCCTGGAAATGGGAAGTGCAATGCCTGCACTCTAAAGGAGGGATTTCGGGATATTAGCAGTTTGGAGGGATATGTTGTGTATCTTTATACGTATATGCTTCTAAACTGTTGTGTTCTGAGCACCTCTGCAAAAACAGTGATTATGTGTGAGTGAGGTGAAAGTGTTGAATGATGATGAAAGTATTTTCTTTTTGGGGATTTTCTTTCTTTTTTTGGGTCTCCCTGCCTCGGTGGGAGACGGCCGACTTTTAAAAAAAAAAAAAAAAAAACGATGGTGACATTATGATTCCTTGTCTAAGACCTACATTTACTGGAAAGTAATCTCCCTCTTTCCTACACACCCTAACCTGAGCCTCACTCTCCTCATAAAAACTCTTCACAGGATTTATTAACTAGCCACCTATTCTATACACTTGCAACACTGGTTCCCTATCCACCTTATCCTAAGCCTAAATGTTGTTTACTTATATGCTTCAGTGTAAACACTTGTTCTACACATCCCTTCCTATCCATTCTAAAGTCCTCTTGTTCATCTGCAATCCTGCTCTCCATCTTACCTCTAACTCTCTCAATAATAACCCTACCTTACACTTTACTAGGTATACTCAGCAGGTTTATTCCCCTGTAATTTTTATCATCTCTTTTGTCCCCCTTCCCTTTATATAAAGGGACTATACGTGCTCTCCACCAATCCCTAGGTGCCTTCCCCTCTTTCATACATTAAATGAGCAAAATTTGTTGACAGCAACTCACCCACTCTATCATTTGCTCTCTTTTTGCATACCCTCACCACTTTCTTTTACTCTCCATATACTCCACTCTTTTTATATCACTTCTGCTTTGTAAAAACCTCCTCTCATAAGCAAACTTTTTCTCCCTTATCACACCCTCTACCTCATCATTCCACCAATGGCCTTTCTTTCCTCCCACACTCACCCTTCTACATCCACAAACTTCTGCTCTGCATTCTAACACTGCATTTTTAAGACTATCCCACCCCTCTTCAACTCCCACACTGCCTATACTGTCACCAGCCCACCTCACTACCAATAGTTGTTGATATCTCACCCTAACTTCCTCCTCTCTTAATTTATAAACTTTCACCTCTTTCTTACCTGTTGTTGTCATTTTCCTTTTGCCCCATTTACCTCTTACTCTAACTGTAGATACAACTAAATAACTATCTGATGTATCTGTTGCCCCTCTATAAACAAGCACATCCTGAAGTCTACCCATCAACCTTTTGTCCACCAATATGTAAATTTAACAAACTATGTATTTTCATTATGCACTATATCATACCTTGTATGCTTATTTATCCTCTTTCTTAAAATACATATTAACTTATTACCAAATCTCTTTCCATACATAGTTCAATTAAAGGCCCCCCATTTTCATTTACCCCTGGCATCCCGAACTTACCTACTACTCCCTCCACAACAGTTTTACCCACTTTAGCACTTAGGTTCCTTGCTACAAGTACAGCCTCTCCTCACTTAGCGACGGAATCATTTACTGATGACTTGGTTTTACAATGGGCTCTCTGACCAGTATGCATACCTAAATAAAGTATATTAGAGCTGATTTTCTCTATTCTGTTTATTACAATATACAGTACATTACTGTATAAACATTTAAAAATATACCAGAAGTGCTATAAATGGTGCAAAGGTGACATTAAAACAATATCAAAGATGGTTGACACAAACCTACTACCATTATGGTATGCTCCTCACTTACAGATGAATTCGTTTGCCAACATGATCTTAGGAAAGGAACTACGTCATTAAGTGAGGAGAGGCTATACTCTCTCACTTGATTCAAAACTCCTCAAGCATTAACTCAACATCTTCCAAAATCTCTCTACATTTCTCTCTTCTCCAGGTGCATAAGCACTTACTATAACCCACTTTTCACATCCCACCCTTATTTTTCTCCACATAATCCTTGAATTTGTAAATTTATATTCCCTTTTCTTGCCATAACTGATCCTTCAAAATTATTGCTATTCTTTCCATTGCTCTAACTCTATTAGAAACCCCTGACCTAATCCTATTCATTTCTCCTCACTGAAACTCTCCTACCCCCTTCAGCTCTGTTTCACTTAAGAGCCAGGACATCCAGCTTCTTTTCATTCAGAAACACAGAACAAAATCTACTGGGACAATCAATTTGGGAACAATGGACAAAGTTTGTTGGATACAAAATTGTTCATTATTGTTACAATCACAGCAAAACAATCTTTTCATCTGTCTACCATACTGCCATTACTGGCCACCCAGTTCTCCAGCAGGCATGCATGAGCATGTTTGATAGGAGTGAATGGAGACAAATGGTTTTTAATACTTGACGTGCTGTTGGAGTGAGAGCAAAGTAACACTTATGAAGGGGTTCAGGGAAACCGGCAGGCCGGACTTGAGTCCTGGAGATGGGAAGTACAGTGCCTGTACTCTGAAGGAGAGGTGTTAATGTTGCAGTTTAAAAACTGTAGTGTAAAGCACCCTTCTGGCAAGACAGTGATGGAGTGAATGATGGTGAAAGTTTTTCTTTTTCGGGCCACCCTGCCTTGGTGGGAATCGGCCAGTGTGATAATAAAAAAATAAAAATATAGAGGGTGTACTGTACATCATATTAAAAAATCTCAGCAACAGAATCTGAACTCTTTAAAACAAGAAAACTTTCAAAATTAAATACTTGAAGTCTAATAGTAAGCTGAGGGCATATTTTCACATTAGCTGGTATCAAAATAATAAAGATTTTGGTAAATAATGACCCCAACCTTCTGCAGAAGACTCCCATTACAGCGGTTTCTTCAATAACACGAAGGTCACACCATAAGGCTAACTCAAGCCCACCAGCCACTGCAAAGCCTTCCACAGCAGCTATCACAGGTTTCTTGGTTTCGTACCGTGATGGACCCTGCCTCAACAAATAATAATCAAAATGTCATTTTTAAAGCTTCTTAACACAGTTTCTCATAAAGTTCTCTCTTAAAGAAAAGGAGAAATCCACCAAGAGGATGTTAATCTGCAGCAACTGCAAGAACCATGTAGAAGTCTTCATACAAGGACAGAGACAATTAACACAAATTTTTGAAGATAATACAGTATAAACTGAAGTTCAGAATATGCCATATGATTCATGAGTGATTGTATTACCTGACCTTTCATTATCATGACTGGACAAAACAAAGAACCTACTCAGAAATTTTAAATCAGTGCCAAATGTAGAGGTATTTTCCTGCAGTAGCTACAAGACTGAATTATGCAGATTTCAAGAACTGAATATTTTAAATAAAACTTGAGCTAACCAAAACATGGTATTCAGACAAGTTCTTGAATAACTATGAACTTCATGAAGCTGTTTTGAGCAATTAATTCATTAACAAGTAAAGGGTGCACTCACTAGCTTTTGTGTATTAGATCTGCCACTCTAAAACAAAAGTTTCCATTTCTTTTACCACAAAAAATAATATTAAGAATGTAAAAAAATAAAAAGTTCTCTGAACTAACGTATCTTCTCAACGCTATTAAAATACTATATTTGAAGCCAAGCAAAAAAATATACTAGAAAAATAAATTTATTGGTAGAAAAACCTGTAAACAAATATTTAAAAGAGAACAAAAGATGTAGTGGTCCATGAGATTATCTACATTGAGGTGATCTCTGTTACTAGTGACTAGAAGGCATGTAATGCACTGTAATGCTAATTCTATTCAAATTATTCTGATCTGCAGTTCTGAATGAATTCCCAAATTCCAAAAAAATTGAAGCTGCACTCAAAAGTAGTTAGTAAACCTTTTGAAGGTTCTTTCAAGCGAGTCTCAGCACATGCTCACCATAGGTCCTCGATCACTGGAAGCAAGTGACTCAGGAGGCTTATCACTTAGTTCCTTCAAGTCAAAGCCAGCACAAAAGTTGCCTCCAACTCCATACAGCACAGCAACTTTTGAAGAGTCATCCTTATCAAAGTCTTGAAAAGCTGTATGAAAATAATAAAGCCAAATTTAAGTCAAAATCAAATTTTATTTCCAGCTCTGGGATTACATCTTTCTTGTACATTCACTGTTAAGCTCCTTCTTACATGAAGCATTTCAAGCAGACTAAAACTAGTATTTATGATTTATTAAATACTAGTACAGTACAAGTACATGTATCTAGATAGGGATTACAATTTTTTTTTTTTTTTTAACAAGTCGGCCGTCTCCCACCGAGGCGGGGTGACCCAAAAAGAAAGAAAATCCCCAAAAAGAAAATGCTTTCATCATCATTCAACACTTTCACCTCACTCACACATAATAACTGTTTTTGCAGAGGCGCTCAGAATACAACAGTTTAGAAGTATAAACACCTACCATCCGACTTACGACCAAGGTCGGTTCCAAGAAACCGGTCGTAAGTCAAAATGGTTGTAAGTCGAACTTTACTACTGAATATCAACAAAACATTTTTGTAATGACTTTATTTTATTGTTTTACTTTACTTTTTATGCTGTTAGTGCTGTATTTTATACTGTAAGGTTTCAATTCAATTCAATTCAAAGTTTATTCTCTATAAAGATTACAATGTTGAATTTACAGAATCTGGTTGTTGTGTGGTTTACATGTAGTTAAATAATGATTACAGAGTGTACCACTAGAACGCCTAGCATGGCTAGGCATTTCGGGCAGACTTAGTTTAATTCTTTATTTTAAAATATTACAAATTATGAGGTAAGTTGGTATTATGGCTAAGTGACTAAATACTATTTGTGAGTTTAGCAATATGAATGCTTTTTTTTGGGCACAGTACATAGTTTCATTTATTGGAGTATCATAGATTCATTATTGTAAGATTGAGATTAATATTTCTGTTATGTCAAATGGGTGAGTGAGTGTAAGTGTGAACCACCAGGTGGTATTCGTGTAGTTAGTTGATGGGGTGTATAGGGAGATAAGATGTTTTCTAATGGTAGTTTTGAAGGTGATGAATGTGTCTCCCAGTTCTAGATTCTCAGGTAGGGTGTTCCAGATTTTAGGGCCTTTGACATACATTGAATTTTTGTAAAGGTTTAGTGGGACACGGGGAATGTCGTAGAGATGTTTGTGTCTGGTGTTATGGCCTGTGGGTTCTGTCACAACTATCAAAAAAGCATTTTAGGTCAAGGTTGATTTTGGGAGTTTAAGGCCCTGTAGATGTAGATTGCACAGTAGTAAGTGTGGATGTACTGAACAGGGGATAAGTTTAGATCTATGAAGAGTGGAGGGGGGTGTTGCCAGGGAGGGGATTTAGTGATTAATTCTTACTGCAGTTTTTTGTTGGGTTATTATTGGCTTTAGGTGTGTTGCTGCAGTTGATCCCAAGCACAAATAGCATAGGTGAGGTATGGATAAATAAGTGAGTGGTTAAGTGTGAGAAGGGCATTTTGCAGCACGTAGTATCGTATCTTGGAGAGGATCCCAACTGTTTTGGATACTTTTTTGGTTATGTGTTGGATATGGGTGCTGAAATTCAGGTTGTTGTCAAGGTATAGGCCTAGGAATTTGCCCTCATTATGTCTGGTAATTAGAGTGTTGTCGATCTTAATGTTAATTTGTGCATTCCTGCTCTGCTACCAAACATAATATAGTAGGTTTTGTCAGTGTTAAGCGTAAGTTTATTGGCTGTCATCCAAGTCGATATTTTTATCAGCTCTTCGTTAACAATGGTGTTGAGGGGGGCAAGATTAGGGTGAGAAAATGACATAAGTCGTGTCGTCCCGCAAGAGAATGGGTTTCAGGTGTTGGGATACGTTTGGAAGATTTATTTTGTATATGAGGAAGAGCAGGGACCAAAGGGCACTTCCCTGCGGGAAATCCGTATCAAGTGGCCGTGTTGTGATTGCTGTGTCTTTAATGGTGACATACTGGGGTACCTATTAGTAAGGGAAGATTTGAAATAAGCAAGCGCATGGCCTCTTATACCATAATGGTCAAGTTTGTGGAGTAGGATACATATTATATACACCTGGAAAATCCTAGAGGGACTAGTACCGAACTTGCACACGAAAATCACTCACTACGAAAGCAAAAGACTTGGCAGACGATGCAAAAATCCCCCCAAAGAAAAGCGGGTGTCACTAGCACGTTTTAAAAGACCATACAATAAGTGTCAGGGGCCCGAGGACTGTTCAACTGCCTCCCAGCATACATAAGGGGGATTACCAACAGACCCCTGGCAGTCTTCAAGCTGGCACTGGACAAGCACCTAAAGTCGGTTCCTGACCAGGGCCGGGCTCTGGCTCGTCGTTGGTTTGCGTGCAGCCAGCAGCAACAGCCTGGTTGATCAGGCTCTGATCCACCAGGAGGCCTGGTCACAGACCGGGCCGCGGGGGCGTTGACCCCCGGAACTCTCTCCAGGTAAACTCCCGGTCTACTGTGTCAAAAACTTTCTTAGGTCAATAAAAATTCCTAGTGGATATTCCTTATTTTCCAATGCTGTGTAAAGCAGATCTGCATTTTTATGAAATTGCATCATTAGTGCTTTTATTTTTTCCTGAAAACCAAATTGGCAGGGTTGAGTATGTTTTGTGCTGTTATAAATGAATATAGTTCCTGTGCATGAGTTTCTCAAAGATTTTGGATAGCAATGGTAAGTTTGATATTGGCCTATAGTTGTTTAAGTTCTGCAGGGGCCCCCACCTTTATGTTATTGGGGTAACCCTTGCCATTTGAGTAGTTTCGGGAGGTGCTAGTTTCTAGTGACTTGTTAAAAAGTAAGAAATAGCATGCGAAAGGATATGGGCAGCTCGCTTGTACAGTAATGGTGGGACATTAGACAGATTCCCTGAGTTGTTTTTAAGTGATTTTTTAAACTCGGTGACCTTCGAGGGCTCAGTTTTGGTGCAAGATGAGGATTTGGGAAATTTTCCATCTGGTGTTTCCCGGCTGGCATTGGTATGTAGGATATTTTTGCGGATTATATCTATGGTTGAGAGAAGTCGTTTTTTGTTAGCTGTGTCAGTGGGATGTAGTGTGTTTTATTTGGTTTAGTTAGGCAATATTCTTGTTTTTTTTCAGTTTGTGGTCCCTTTAATTGAGAGAGTGTTTTCCAGTCTTTTTATATTCCTTGTGTTGTGATCTACTGGGTAGTTTTGTTTGCTTTCTTTTTCTTGGTGAGAACTGTGAATAGTGTTTAAGAAATTTTGGGTATTAGCCCTATCTATAGTGCCCCCTTTATATTTGGTGTTTTTGTCAATGGATTTCAAAAGGTGCTGGTTAGCCATGGGCAACCAAGCCGTTTTTGTTTGTGATCTGTTTTCGTTTTATAGGACAATGTTTGTTGTATAGTTAAATATTGTTAAAAAAAATGTCTGTCCAGTCTCAATACCATTGGCCTTGGAGAATTCTGTAGGCCGTCAAAAATTCTAGGTCAGCTGTGAACTTCTTTTTTGAGGCCCTTTTATGGAGTCTAAAAGAGACTTTGTTGTATTCAATGGTAGTTTACTAATGTTTGGGCAGGAGGAAGGTAGGTAGTGGTCTGCAGTGCATATGTGATTATTCCCTGATTTAAGGGGGCTAGTAATATTGGCCTATGTGGTCATTAGGTTCACTTGTCTCAGTGGCCTGTTTTTAGTTTTGTTGGTTGAGAAGTGTGTTGTTCATATTGTTTATGAAAACAGTTACAGGCTGATCATCTAGTAAGCCAAGGTTTGATGTTGAGTCTCCAGCTAAGAGAAGGTGGTGCTTATTATTGGGCTGTTTGTTATTGTGGGCTTTAATTTCTCATGAAATTTGGGTGTTTGTGTGAGGTATCCGGTAAATTTGGCACGATTGTTATGGGTCTTAAGGTTTTTACAGTAAAATTAGGAAAAATGTATTCCCCCTATTCATCGTAAAGCAAGTGGTGCTAATACAAGATAATTTTGGGGTTTGAGTAATAGATTGCAATACCCCCCCAATTGTTTGGTCTGCAGTTGTGGGGGTTTCTGTGTATCCTGGTAAGGTAGATTATTCTATTGTGTCTGCTTAAGCCAGGTTCAGTAAGAAAATGCAGGAGAAGGGTTTTCTTTAGTGATTCAAGGAGTGCCAGGAGGTCAAACATAGTGTTTGCTTAAGGACCTGAAAAGTGTAGTTAAGTATGATAACTTTAGCTGTTTAGGATAGTGCTGGTGGTTGCTGTGTAAAAAGGAAGTTTCTTTCCATTTGGTTTTGATTGGGTGTCAGATTAGGAGGTTTAGGGTTCAGGGTCAACGTGATCAAACACCTTCTAGGTTTAAATTATGGTTTATTTATATCCTGAGTTATGTGTTGGTTCTAATACTGATATCTGTAGTGGGGGGAAGTTTGGATAAGTTTATAGCTAGAGTATTTGGTCATATAGAGTATAGTCACTATAAAACCATAATGAAGTTGATGTTGTCTATGTGTTTGTGCTGGAAATGAATGAAGTACAATAGGTATAAATAGTAATATAAAAATACAAATTAAAATAGAACGAGACTCTCACTTGTAATTGCCACTAAGGTCAATATAATGACTTTTGTTTGGAAGTCTATGTTTTGAGCTAGATGGCTATAGTACAACTAGATTTAATCTAATAATATAAAAATACAAATTAAAAATAGCACCAGTCTCTCACTAGTAATTGCACTATGGTCTAATATAATGAATTTGGTACTGACTTTTAGTACAACTGAGTTTAATCTAATAATATAAAAAAAGGCACAAGACTCTCAATTGTAATTGCACTAAGGTCTTATAAGTTGTTTACAAGAATTAGAGTATATAATAGATTTAAATTGACAAGATAAAATACACAAGTTAAGGTAGCAAAAGAATAATAATAAAAAAAAAATGATAAAATAAAAATGGCAATGACTTGGTTATAATATGCTAGTAAGATGGTAGACAGGATAATATAAAAGTTGTAGTTGAAAATACTAGTTTAAAAAAGTATAGAATAAAATGGTCAATAAAAGAAGTTTACAATAAGTTTGATCAAAATAGTTTAAAGCAAAATTGG